CTCCTCCTTCTACCTTTTTCTTCTTCATTCTCTCTTCTCCCTTCTTCATCCTATCCTTCCCCTTTTAGATGTGTGAGTTCTCCCTTGAGAACCTAGGTCTAGGTTCTCTCTCTAAGAAAGAACCTAATTTTGGGTTCTCCAAGAAAACCATTCTCCATGAGAGCCATGGCTCGACAATGGACATAGTCAATTGAGGCAAACAACAACAAAGGCTAAGGATTACAAAGATTTAAGCCCTTCAGTGTTGATTGCAATAACCTAGATCGGGGTTGTTTCTATACAAATTAAGTTTTTTTTTTTTTTCTTTTTTGGTGTGCTTGGTTCCCATCAAAGGGTGGTTTCTTTTCCAAAGTCAAAGTTGGTGTGCAAAAGGAAGATAATGTCATCGTCAGGGCAATGATTGTTGGCCTTGCCATTGTAGTGTCCCTTCATAGGTAAATCCCTAAAAAAATAGGAAACTTTTAGTGCCCTAATTCACAAATTACTTCAATTAGTTACTTGATTTTGTTATCACTAAGCTTGGGATTCAATTAGTGGTGCTTGAGAAAGTGGAGTCGCTTTGAACTGGTGGAACAAACTGAAACCCAGATCTCATCCACGATGTTAGGAAGTATTCCAAGTCCAAGATGTACCATAATTTTTTCATGATTTAGAAAATTTTAACCTAGGTTTTGATCTTCATTGTTTAGATTTATTGTTTCTTATGATTTGATATTTTGCTATTAAAATTGGATGTGAAATTGTATATTTTGTTTGCGTTGGTGTAATTTGGATATTAAATTAGAAAAAGTCTTCAAAAATTTGGGTTTCAAGTATGAGTTTTAAGTTTCTAACACATATGGGATCTCTAGTGTAGCATTGGTGTCATTCTACATGCATAGGCAAGCGAGCAAGAATTGGACGGTGAGCTATCACCACTGTACAAGTCAAGAAGTTCTCAAGTTTGGGTTTCAAACATGATTTTTTTCTTCAACAGTGTAGAAACCTTTGTATGAGAAAAACAATTCTACCAGTTTAAGGGAATGAGGAGAGATAAGGAATATATATTTTTTTAATATAAAAACTACCATGTCACTCCAGAGAAATTCCACCTAATATTTGAAAAGTAAAAGAGCTGAATTTTTTTTATGGAACATGTACCACATTAGCATTTAATTGACAGAAGGAAAACATTGGTATCAAAAATTGAAGTTTAAAGATATTTTTAGTATTTTTGAAGTTTAAGGATAATTTTATATAAATTTAAAAGTTCAGGGATTAAATTGGTATTTTAACTTTTATTTTTCTACATATCAACTTAAAATTCGGCATCCCAATCAAAGTAATACTTTCAAAAACAATCGCCTCTTTTTCATTTTAAAATTAGTCAAATTCATCCTTATCCGAACTGATGTGATTTCATAGGTGAAAATTGTTCATGCTATTTTCAAACGGATCTTTCATCTCCAGCTTCAACTTCATTTTATTAGGTATAAGTTATGAATTATGAATGATAATTAAGATATTTTCAACCTAGAAAACAAGCTGGGTTTGACATTTCTATCTCATATTTTCCTTCTTGTCATCACTTGTCGTCCGGATAACTGGCCGGCCAGCCGGCCTTCCAAGTGCGTGCTAATTTCTTCACCCCAAAGGAGAAGACTCTTTTTTTTGCATGGAAGGAGATGGTCTTTTTCATAGTAACTATATTTTTTTCCTTAATTTTATAATTATTTTAATAGTTTTAAAAATTACTTATATACATCTTACTTTTATGGACCCTATGTTAATAATTCTTAATAGAAACTTTTTCTTTAAGCTAATACAATTTAGAGTAGATGATAAAGAATTATAGCATAATAGTATTATAATTCAAATCTTAATCTTTTTTAAGGTATCAAGTGCACTTACCAATTGAAACGTAAGATTTGGTGCATGGTAGAGACTTTTTTTCTAACCTCAAAGGTACTTAAATTTGGAAAATATGCAATCAAGTTTAATGATCTGTCACTTTTCTTTGTCTTTTTGGGGTGTTGCTGAGGTGATATCCTAGCTTGCCAATTTATTATTATTATTTTTTTGGAATAGGTAAATTTTTTGGGATAGGGGAAAGGATTCAAACCAAACTCATGAGGTTGGAAGGCACATCTTTTACCAAATTGCTTATAAGAGCAGGTGCCTTTAGCTTGTGGTTCATAAAGCTTTATTTTTTAATTTTAATATTGTTTGGGCAGCTTCACGAACCTACACTGTAAATATCTTCAATTGTTTCAATTGTTTCAATACTTGAAAATCTCGAAGATGTTTTTTCAAGGAAAATATTCTGACGCTAAAGTTAGCAATACTCAATATTCTAGAGAAAGAAGTTCTCAAAGAATAATTGCAGAAAAAGAAGTGTAGTGGAGTTAATATCTTGAATGAAGGTAGTTGAGAGTATTTATAGCTCCTAAGTCCTGACATAAAACTATGTGTGAGTGCCTCTTATTAGTCTCTTTATATGCACCCACGTGGATATGTCTGAATTAATAGTCGGATGCGTCTTCATTGTGGGTTTAAAGATGAACTCTTGGGCTTGCTGTATATGGCTCAGGTAGAATGTTGGCCTATTCCCAACAAATATATATTTTTTGCCATGAAAGATTAGTTATTATTCATTAACACCATATTAATATTCGTAACATTTTGATATTCAAGCATTTGTTTAAAGAAAAATGATTTCAAGCTGAAATTTGGAGGGTGAATTTTAGGCCAAAATTATCTCGATTGTTGA